ATCACTGGACCCTACGTGCAGCATGTCAGAATCACAGAGGGAACGTGGCTTACTAGCTCAACTCTAGATGATTTTGATGCTGGCCGTCTCGGGAGAGTGTGCAGATCAACTTTGTTGTTCTTTGTTGCTTTTCCCTAAAATTTTCCTGATGATTTTGATGACCCATAACACTTGGGTTCCTCTGCTCTAGGCTCTTCATCTTCAAGGCTTTAGATATGCTGTATCTGTGATCGTTCTGAGCCCTCACCATAGAAACTTATACCCCAAATCCCACTGTAGGTAAATAACACCTTCTTATATAATGGAGATGGCTGAAAACATCAGGAAAACCACCCAAAGCCTTGGTGATTTGGGGAAAATTATTGGCCCTTATCTATGACTTTAGAAACCACTTCCAAATATCATAGCCATCCCCATCTATCCACATGCAAGTCCACCCTTGGCTCCCTACAGCTGTTCTCACTCATGCTAATTTGAGCTACTCCAACTTTCTGTACATTGTTTCATTTGTCTGTATCTCACACCCCTGCACTGCCATATTCAGAGTGGGACCCAACTGAATACTTTTTGGGAGATTTCCCCTATAGCACTTCATACAGAGCCAAACTAATAGTAAAGGCTCAATAACTGCAAAGAAACCAAGGAACAAAGGGACTTTGGCCTAAAATGGATAAAAAGGAATTAAGGTTGACTCTAGAATTAAAAAGCAAGTCGAGAGGGTTGGCAAACATGGGTGTACAGCCTACCTGCTGAGATGATAGTGCCTTAAATATTGGGTATGTATTATATTCTTCCAGCATCTGAAATTTTTTCTTTGTTATTTCTGTGTTCTTCATTTCTTAGGTCAATGATATATGCATCACTAATGGCTCAGGAAGAGGGTGACCAACTTGTCCCAATTTGCCTGGAACTTTACCAGTTTTAGGAATGAACATCTGCTATTTGGGAAACCCCTCAATCCTGGTGCACTAGGGTAGCTGGTCACTACTCTGAAGACAGAGTTCACTGAACAAATAAATTTGGGAAATGCTACATCACAATTCTACCCACCTGAATTAGTTTTCTGTTGCTACTGTAACAAATTAAAGGGTTAAAACAGCATAAATTTATCATCTTACAGCTCTGGAGCTCAGAAATCCTGAATGGGTTTATAGGACTAAAATCAGCATTTCAGTGGGGCTGCATTTTTATCCTGGAGGCTCTCGGGAAGAATCCATTCCCTTGCCTTTTCCAGCTTCTAGAAGTGGCTCACATTTCCTGGCTGATGGCTCCCTCCTCCATTTTCAAAGCTGACATCATTTGACTATCTGCTTTCCCCCTTGCACCCCCTTCTCTGACTCTCAGTCTTGCCTGCTTCCCTCTTTCACTTAAAATGACCCTTGTGATTACACTGTGCTCCCTGAATAAACCAGGATAATCTCTCCATCCAAACTCCTTTAATGACATCCACAAAGTCTTTTTTGCCAGGTAAGGTAACACACAGGTTCCAGGGACTAGTCTATGGACATCTTTAGGTGGCCATTATTCTGCCTACCATCCCTACCCCTCTCTGAGAGTTGATAAAACCCCTTAATGTATTAAAGGAGTACTTTTTAAACCTCCCAGGAAAGGAATCTATTTAACATTGCTTAACGCAGCATTTTCTAAGCTTATTTGATCAAGAAAATTTTTATTCTCCCACAAGAAAACACCTCTTGACATCTCATGGAATGCTGCCACTCTTACCAAAGAGGATTCAGACGAGTGTGTACAACACCAAGAGTCCAGGGACTTTCCATGTGTTGTGCAGACAAGGAGAGTTTTGAGGGAATCAATTCATAGATCCAATTCCTCTCACTTCAATACATATACTCTTCTCTAAACTTAGCTGCCTGAGAAACAACCTGAGGTCAAAGAATGGTTGACCTTCCTTCTTTCCACTGTTTCAGTCATGGAGTTCTCACTAAAGAGGCTTACTGGGACAACCTATTACCCAGGGGTGCAAAACCTCCCTGGTCAAACAAAGGGATGATGTGAAGCTCTGGCAATGCCTCTTTTAATCAAGGTGATATAACCTTTCATTAGAGGTGTATTGCCAATAAAACTTTAATTTTTATGTTTACTAAGTATCAAAATTTTAATACTTTATATTGTACTCAAAGTAATTAAAATGTAACTCAGGAAGAAATGGAATCTTCTGTCAATTTAAATCTCAATTTATACGCATCCCTTGGCTGTAGGAAATTACCATGAATTGAGCAAATAAAACATTTTTTAAGCATAAAAATGTAAGTTAAAATTCTCTGGGTGTCACAGAATAGAGATACAATTTCAAAGAGAAAAAAGAAAATGTCCTTGGTCCTGTCATTTTTAAATTGACAATAATGGGTGTTACATCACTGTAGTATTTGTTATATTGAACACATTTAAAAGAATGATTTAATGGGTTAATTTTAAAATATCAGTATGTATAATACCTAGAAATTCTATTTACAAATTATAACTAATCTTAAGGTGAAAAATACTTGCTGTCAAAAGAATATGCAAGAAAGTATATAGTGTTTCAAATGCTTCTGGAAGTATATAAACAAAAGTTATGATGGCCACTGCTCCAGAGAAAAATGTTCGGGAAAGAGCAGTGTTTAGAACCAGGCCAGCAGGGAAACCCCAGGAAAAATGCCAGCTTCCTTCAGCTATTAGGGTTAAGCCATGAAGTACCTGGCGCAAAGCCGGCATGCCCTTCATTCCACCAATATGGGCCAGGAGCCCCCAGTGCGCTAGGCCCTGGATGTGCAGGAGGGCTTAAACACAAATCCCTGCTCTCACAGAGCTTATGTTCTAGTGGACACATATTTATTTGATCCGTTGCTTCTGTATAAACGCATGTTTGCTGCATTTCCAGAAAGCCTTTTAAAATACCTTATTTTCAGGCAGTTTTTAGGAGCTGTGTCTACAGAGAAATGACTCGTTTTTGTATTCCAAAAGGGACCCATCTAGATTCCCTTGTTCCTGCCAGAAAAAATCACCTGAGGAGGCATATACTAATTTCAGTGATAGGGCCACTACTCAGAGAAGTCTTTAATTCCTCTGGAATTGACTTCAAAACATACAGCACCATCTTCTGAACATCCTCCATGCTTGTAAATACTTGTGTTTGGGGGACAAACTTTAATGTTTTTGGAACAAAGGTTGTTCACACAAAAGTCAAGTGACTAGAGTAGGTGGTCAAACTGAGCAAGAATATTATTTGTCACAAACTCTGGAGGGCATTAATCAGGCAGGCAGGCTTACTCACGGTAGAGTCAAGTCATACCTGCCCATGCTGGGATCACTTGGCTCTGAAATTGCTTGGAGATTTAATGGACTCAAATTTTAGGGAGAGAGCTTCCTGGGGCTGGGGAGGCCATAGCACCCACTGCTTTAGTACTGCTGATGCTGTCACAGTGACCCCCTTCTAGGGGCCGTAGCTGGAAGAAGTCCAAGAGGAGAAATAGCTGTCCCAGAAGAACCCAGGGCTGAGAGAACAACACTGGGGCAGTCATGAGGGGGCACACAGGTGGAGGGAGCACCTGGGCCTGTGTCTAAATTGTGTTAGAGTGTTCACTGAGTCTGTCTGCAACATTAATCATGCTGTCCACTGAGGATGTGAGTCCAGGATGGACAGAGGGGGTGGGGTACAAGATGGGAAGGATAGACAAGGATTGCAGAAGCTGGCATGTATGGCCATCTGCCTATCACATATCACTTCTGTGTGGCCAGAGCACTGGACAAAAGCTCTAGGGATTCTAGAGAGCCCTCAGTTAACAAAGGACATTTTTTATTTTTTAGTATAAGTGCACTGTATTTTACTACTTTCTCCTTCTGCAATATTTTTTTGATATTTTACTTTGGAGACACCATTCCACCTGCGTCTAGAACCGAGCTAGGTGCTGTGGGAAACATTGTCTCTGCCCTCAGGCAACTTGAATCTCCTTGAGAAGATTAAAAATAACGTGCATACATACTACAGAGTATTTCACTTCAAATATTAGCTATCAGCTAATTGGTGACTTCATGGAATATTTCATCAACTCTAATGACACCACCAATTGTAAGATGCTGTTTTATGTGCTCTTAAGAAAGAAAGTGCTGCCAATTCAGTTGTGAATGATTGCTTTCTTATTACTTAGAATTTTTTATGTAATGAAAGTTCCTTTTTAGACTTAGACATAATGTTATTTTTTAACATATATTGCTCTCATGAATTCATAAACTGGAAAATAGTAGGGAAATAAATTGACTTTGGTTTTTCTAAACTTCTTTACAACTTAGAGTTATTGATGTCTATGTGTCCAAAGTGCTGTTCTCTAAGCCAAACTAGGGCACTGGTGAGGCAACATATCCTGCAGAGCGCTCTTGACTTGCCAAAATCTCTGGCTCCTATTGTGTAAACTGATGCACACACAGGTAGTAACAACCACAGCACAACTGTCACCTGGCAACAGTGACTATAAGACATTCCAATTTCCAAGATATCAAGCATGAAAAAAATACGTCTTAGACTCATGAAATATGGATTCTGAGACTCAAAGAGACTACCAGGATCAACTACCCATGTCTGCCCTGGGAATGGGATTGGTATTGGTGCTACATCCTTGTCATTAAACAATAATTTATTCCTAGATAACTTGCAAAACTGGTTTCCAGTGCAACAGCCATTGTGGGGAGTTCTGTGAGCTAAGAGTCAGGAAGTCTTTATGCATAAGAAAGGTCCAAAAAGGTGAGATTTGGCCAGAACAGAGGAGACCACTTCCAGAGAGGAAAGAGGTCAATAAGGAAAGTTCAAGAGGGCAGACAAGCATGACATGTGGAGAGGACAGTGGAGCAACCCTGGGCTGGGATTGGGTTTAGTTAGGGAGCTGTGGGCTATAAAGGAATGTTCTTAGAGCAAAGAACATAAGTTCAAATGAGTGTGTTTCACTTTCAGAAACATAATAATGGTTCTCATATTTCTCTAACTTTTCTTTCTCTCCTTACCATAGGTCCCGATGTTTTCAGTTCAAAGAGCCTTGCCCTTCAAGCTCAGAAGAAGATTCTGAGCAAAATAGCCAGCAAAACTGTGGCCAACATGTTGATTGATGACACCAGCAGTGAAATCTTTGATGAGCTCTACAAAGTCACCAAAGAGCACACCCACAACAAGAAGGAAGCCCACAAGATCATGAAAGACTTAATCAAGGTGGCAATCAAAATTGGGATCCTGTACCGGAACAACCAGTTCAGCCAGGAGGAGGTTGTCATTGTGGAAAAGTTCAGGAAGAAGCTGAACCAGACCGCCATGACTATCGTCAGTTTCTATGAGGTGGAATACACCTTTGATAGGAACGTGCTCTCCAAGCTCCTACATGAATGCAAGGACCTGGTGCATGAACTGGTGCAGCGACACCTGACGCCCAGGACCCACGGGCGCATCAACCATGTCTTTGACCACTTTGCTGATGTGGAGTTCCTCTCTGCCCTTTATAATCTGGATGGAGACTGTAGGTCCAACCTCAAGAGGATCTGTGAAGGAATCAATAAATTGCTGGATGAGAAAGTCCTTTGAATGCCTTTCCTCCTTCTGGACTTCGCTGCAGTCAAGTTACAGCACCCAAAATGGTCCAGTTGAGAATCAAGAAAACAAAAAGAAACCCTTGTCAAAGACACCCATGTTCTGTCCTAGTCACCTATCTGATGTTGATGCTGAATTAAGCTCAGATGTGTTTATCCCCTGAGCTTGCTGATGAGGCCTGCACTTAAAAACACCTTGCTGGCAAGCCCAAAAGATATTTCATCTATTCTAGGCAGCAAGGCTGCCCTGCTCATCAAGATGGGCTCAGTCCATCTTGTGGAGTGGAAGGTGCTCTGGACCAGGAATTGGAGGATATGGATTTGGTTCCCAGCTCCAGTAGTTACAACGCCATCTTCTGCATCCAGGAACCATGATGGCTGCCTGCCTGCCTCCCAGGGCTGCTAGGAGGATCAGATGAGATGATGTATGTTCATGCTTTTGAAAACTCTAATGTAAGGTCTTACTATTTTCTCCTCAGAGTGTGAGAGGGATCAACCTGGATCTAGACTATTAAGCAGCAGAGAAGAACAATAGTATCTAATGGGCTGGGTTTGCAATCTGTCTCTAGGTGTGCTGTTTCATACAAAATAAAAATGAATCCAAAGGTGTGAAAAAGAAGAGCTGCAAATTGAAAAAATGTTTTTGAAAAGCTGTGTTTTTTAGGTCCTCAATGTGCAGGTTTATGATCCTGCAGAGGTAAACTTTCCTGGAGTGGGTGGAAGGAAAGTTTCCCCAATAACACAGAAACAGAGAACTGTGCTCCCCCTGTAGGACCAGCCTTCCCCCATCTACAGCATCTGTGAGGCACAGGAAGGGTTTACTCTGGCATGCACCGGAGAGTTGGACAGAATGAATCCCTATCTGGCTTTCTTGGCCTTTCACAGTAATTTTGTGGTGTTTTCTCTGGTTCGTTAATAAATTGAAACTACCCTTCAAACAACAGGTTTTGGAGTTGTGATTCAAAAATAAAATTCCTTGGAGTTAGATACAGTGTTAAGAATAAAGGGTATGAAAGGAACATAAAATGAAGAGTAAGGGAAAGCCTACCCCCAGGCCCTAAGGGTAAGAAACCCCAGCGGGAGCACCCATGGGGTGGGGCCTGCATCCTGGGTCACTGGGCAGCCAGCTCCTCGACATGGTGACTGCCTTCTCTGGGTGTCTCTCAGGCTTGCTTTAACACTGGATTCTGATTCTTTTCATCATAATCTTAACAGACATCAGAACAATATATTTACTGCCTTTCATGTTGTCTAGAGGACACATACCACATTAGACTTGCTCTCCCTACATCACCTCCTATCCTGCTATGTTTCTCTTGTATTGGGTGACAATTTAAAAATACCACTTTAGTTCATCCCCATGGGTTCATCCCATCCTCTGGTCTCTCTCTGACAGGGGCATCAAGAAATGGATTTGTGGGAGGGTATAAGCAACATGCCCTGAACTGACAGTGGCCATTCAATCTTAACTGGCTCCCATGTCAACCTGAGTGAACCATCCAGTTAAGTTCTTCAGCCACCAGCTCACAAAATTAGTTCATAGGAAGGATGTCCAGTAAGGAATAGGGAATAGTCAGCCTCTGTTCCCCACATCTGACAAACATGACCTAGCCCCTCCTCGAAGACCCAAGAACTGGACAGTAATGCCTGTGCACATCTGCACTGGGCAGGTTGTTGGTCATCCAGGCAGTGCTCGTGAGAATGGCCTGATAGGCAGCAAAGCAGCCCAGCACATTTTCACATACAGAGTCCTCAATGCCCACCTTGGTGTACTCTTCTGGTTAAGGACTGCTTTCTAACTTGAGGGATGGTTCTACTAGCAGGTCCTTTTGCCCTTAAGTAGGTGAACCTATCCAGTCAAATCAGACCCAAAAGGAATGGGTGGAACTGTCATCTTTTCATCTGCAACAGGGCAGGGAAGCAGGCAGGATCCCCAGCCAAAAAGGTGTCAGGCTCTCCCCACTCTACAGGCCACAGCACAGCAGTGGCGGCAGAGGCGGGCTAAGCAGGTTCTGACAGCTCATGAGTCCCTAAGGAAACTGGGTCCTCCTTGTTCTGACCAGAGAAGACTCAGCACTTCCACCAGCAGGTCTCAGCAAGTGCAACAGCAGAGTGTAGACCAGAACACAGTCTATGGTTTTGGGCTTCCCCCCAAGACAGACAAGGGGCTCACTGGCTACAGCAGAGCCAGCTGGGTTATCTCAAGCTCATCAGCAGTAGCCAGGGAGAGCTGGGCTACCCACCACACCTCTAAAAATAACCAAACCCAATCCCAGGTGTATACCTTTCAAATATACAATTGGCAGTAAATTCAAGTGATAACTGCATCTCCTGAACCAGCTGAAAAGCTTGCAAATTTCAAGTGCTTAACATGACAATCTAGAAACCAAAGGAACAATTTCATTCTTGGTTTATCCTGAGGACTCTAACATCATGTAGTGGCCCTGAAAAGCTGTTTAGGGTGAAAAAGATAGGACAGAGGCCAGCAAGTGCTTTCAAAACTAGGACTCCATAGATGTGTATTTGTGCTCAGAACTACACAAAATTTTCAGTAATGAGAATCCACAAAAGTAAAGTTAGAATATTTTCATTTCCTAGCACCTGAAAGAAAACTGATTTCAAAAGAAGCAACAGCACTCAACTGATCACGCCCCAGACAACTTCAGAGTAATGCCTGGCTCAGCACATCAGGGGAAGAGACAGGACTCACACTTTTAAGGAGAGGGGAGCAGAAGCAGCTTGCCTCAGTCATCTGGAAACACCGGTGGGTGTTCAGCCACCCCTGAGCACTCAGCCCTGTCCCCAAGGGAGGACACGAGGGACTTGTGCTGAAGCTCCTGGCCTCCCCCAGTTCTGAATCCTTCTTCGTGTACCTGAACCCTGCAAAAACACACTGACTGCCGGCTGGTTCTGCCATGTGTCTGTGTCACTCTTCGTCCCTGTGTTCGCATCTGTGAGTCTTGACACCCTCAGCAATTCCAGGTCTCTGCTCAATGACAAGTCAAAACGAAAAGACTTCTCCATCTGTGCTTCTCCTCCAAACTCCCATCTCCCCCATCTGTACATTTTTCAGAAGCAAAAATCAGTACATTCACTGGCTGCTCAATGGACTTCTTGTATCCATTTATAAAGAAAAGGAAGGATCTCAAATCAGGCTTACATGCCCTCTACCCCATTAGTTTTTTTGTTTGTTTTTCAATTCAACGTGGCTCCAGATGTCAAGAGCAAAACCAATCACTGGAATTCTAGAACAGCCAACTTTGGCTACGAGAACACTGCATCAGCAGCTGTCTGGTAATAGACTGGGATGCTGACACTGGAGTCATGGATCATATGGTCTTGAAGAAGAGGCTCCCTCCGGCCCTCCCAACTCAGAATTGTATGATCACTTTCCCTCCTTTAGTCTCAGTGGACTATGGGGCCCACCTCCTGTCTCTCCTAAGAAGGTCTTGCTTATTAGCGGAAAAGACTCTTCTACAACCCTCTTCCTCAAAATGGCATCTAGGAATCCCTGAGAGTTTGTGGTGGTGGGAGGGAGAGAAAAGTGGCCATGAGTTCTAAAAGGAGTTTTAGGTTTTTGTTTCATTCTGACTTTAAAAAAAAATCAAAATCGACGTAAGTACCTTCTGAAGCTAGTGGCACGACTACAGCCAGGTATACATCTAGCTTCAGGGTCTAAGTATCTCTTCATGTTTACAATGTCATTCATGTTAACTGGTCAACTCAAGTGAAAGAATTAAACTGAATGTATTTCTCCAATTAGGCCTGGCATCCCCTAGAGGTCTGCAGGCATAGCTTAGGGGTCTGTGAATTCTCAATTTTAAGAAAGGTTGCTACAACATATGGAAATGTAGGCTTGCATGCAGATAATGTCACTCTGCCCTTGATGGTGACTCATGCGTCGGGGCTCAAAGATTAATGGGTGAACCAGTGTCTGGGAGACACACAGGCCTGCTGCAGAAAGAGGTGGGCTCCCACATGTCCCGACCACCCTTTGAAACTGTCCAGGAAAAGTGACTACATATAAATCAAAGAACTGACCAACTGTCTTGGCAATCCTACTAATAAATCTCAAAGGTAGAAGAGAGGCCACTGCTGGACACACCGGCCACTGGTCCTCCCAAGGAAGGGAATAGAGGAGAAACCTTAAAAAGCCTCCTTGCAAAGAAAAGTCACCTGTACCCGCTCACTCTGTCTCAGCTCCAGCTTCATCTGGAGTGCAGAGTCCCAGGCATCAAGAGTGTGTGTGGTTCCGGGATCCCAGGCACTAATTCATTGGCTGAATTTAAGGCATGTGGCACCCAGATCCTGGTGGCATGGAATTCCTCCCAGCTGCGGAAAAGGAATCAGCCAGAGCAAGCACTCTCTCACCTCCCACCCCCACCCCCACAGTACCATTGCACCAAGTCCTTTTCCTTCCTTTGCTGGGGCTGGGCCAAGGTCTCTGCAGAGGAAGGGTCCTGGCCACCCACCCAGGCAGCCAGGCCCCCCAGGCTGTGACAGAGTTCCTCTTTGCTGACTACTAAGGCCATTCTGGACCAGTGCCTAGGACAAGGGTGTCTGGTGTTTGGCTCCCAAGGAGGAGCTGGGTGGGAGCCAGAGCTTGGCACAGAGCAAGTGCTGGAGGCTGGTGGGGAAGCAGCAATTCGGTTATGTTGTAGAGGGGAAGGAGCATTCTTCCAGGTCCTGTCACTTGGGAGGAGGAGCCTGTGGCTGGTCCCCCCAGTGACTGGCCTTCTTCCACCTCTCCCCACCAAAAGGGTCATATTCCCTCAGTAACAGGATGGGCTGCCCCTGCTCTACAAAAACAGTTACAACTTGATTTTAGAAATAGATTTTTGGATTTGGTTTTAGGGAGACAAGGAAGATGGATGTGCTACATTTTGTTTTCAGCTTTCATAGGCAGCTCAAAGTGTAGAACATGGAACGAGCCACAAGTCAGAAGGTTTCGTCTTAGCTCCCCTACTACCTGGGAATTTCCTTTCACTTTGCCTCTCCTGGGCCTCAGGTGCCTCAGCTGTAAACAGAGTTGCACCATATATCTAAGAATCCTTCCAGTTCCATAGGTCTGTCTTCTGAACATCTTAGGAGAGAAGCTCTGGGTGTTTCAGTGTCATAGGTTGCTCAGAAGGGAAGCTATTCATTATTTAAATGAAGCAATAGCTTCCAAATAGACTGAGAAACGACTCCTCAGTGATCTCCTTCAGGACTTTGAATCGTGAATCTAAGTTCATGATTTCTGAGAGGAAGAGCATTAAGCCAGAAAATGCAAGGTAAAACCGGGACCCCATACAGACCAGAGAACTGGACAGTGTAGGCCCAAGTAGTCAGTCTCCAGCTTAGCTGGTGCTGGCAGTACTTCAATGTCAGGACCGACCCTCTCCTGAGACATACATTTCAAATTGAAGTGTGTCAGACTCCATAACATATCTCTGTAGAGATAAGAGAGTAGTGAGCAAAGTCATTATATAAGTCATTACTAAGTTGTGTCAAATATCATAAGAAATCATCAAATTGTTTTTAAATATATTAATAAAGCCATCCCACCAACAAATGGGCTATTTTATGGGCTTTTCAGATCTTTTTCTTCCCCCTGTACTGTATGAAACATATTTCATGTTCCTTTACCAAGCGTAAAGGAACCATGCACCCTTATGTGGTGGACACACTGCCACCGCGCTACTGAAAGAGCACTATCTTTACCCATATATAAAACAACATTCTCTGGAACATCTTTAACGTGTCTTTAGTGTTTTATGCACCCATGCTATGAAATAACTTTTTAAAAAACCAGCTTTGTTGAGAAATAATTCACAAAACACACTATTCACCCATTTAATGTGTAAAATTTAGTGGATTTTGGTATATTCAGGTATGTGCAACCATAACCACACTCAATTTTAGAACATTTTCAGCACCTCAAGAGGCTCAGTACCCTTTAGCTATCACTTCACTCCCCTCAGACCTTATTAGCAATGTAAAAGTTACTCTTCATCCCCACAAGTATCACAATACTTGTGTATCACAACATTGGCGTTGAGATTCAGAGCAAGCCAATCTCAATGACGTGCGTGACTAAGATTCATTGCGATGAACCAGGTTGATCTCATCAGCTGTGTTGTTCCCATGAGAACAGGCCTCATCAGCCTCTTAACAAGGTGGTCTCTGTGGGGAGGCAGATTCAGTGAAGGGTGTGGACGACGGGGCTGACCGTGAGATGCCTAAGGTTGGCAACTCCCTCATCAGCCTCCTGCTCTGTCAATGGATGCAGTCAGTGGCTGTGCACTGTAGAAGCTCAGGCATCATGTGAGCAGAGGGGCTCAAAGCATGGACCGTGAACCACCTGTATTGAATTCCTGGACGGTTCCTTTAAAAATATAGAATCCTGGGGTCCACCCCCAGAACTACCTGAGCCAAATCTCTGGAGATGGAGCTTGGGAATATGCAGTTGTGAAAAGGCTCCCTAGTGATTTTTCACATTTGTAAAGTTTGCTGACCCCAATATAGAGGATATAACTTGAAATCCTTTGCATCTCTATGCTTCTCAAAGGATTAATTCCCTTCTGAATTGTTTGCATTTTCTGCCTGTTCCAGCTTTGAAACTGAGTCCATCTCATTCTCCCTTTGTGTCCATGAGGCACCCCCTGAGTACTTAAGGTTCTCTTCATATATTCCATTACCCTGGGGCTGTCACAAGCCCTATTCTCCAGTTGCAAGTACCCAAAGGATGGAAATACCAGTGAGAGGCAGGGTTATTACTCTTGGAACCTAGAGGTCAAAGGGGACAGAAAGAATACCTGCCTTTCAGCTAGTGGAGAAATCATCTTAAAGTTGAACCCAGGCTCAGAGCAGCCAGCCCGAGGAA